ATCAATCCATTGCCTAGCAACGACAGAATGTATATACAGACTCAGGAAAACAGGCTAACAACAGAGGAACTCTCTTCGGGGGTACCACAAGGTTCAGTCCTTTCACCTACTCTTTTCAATTTGTACATAAATGATGCCCCCCAAACACATGGTGTTCACCTGGCCCTCCTTGCGGACGACACCTGTCTGTATGAGACAGATCGCAAGGAGGGTTTTATTGTTAGAAAACTCCAGCGCGGTCTCAGCTCAATTGAGACCTGGTGTGAGCGCTACAATATTAAAGTTAATGACGATAAGACTCAGTGGGTCTACTTCTCTCGTAGTCGTCGACCGCCTGAGTCTTGCCTCACTCTAAATGGACGAAGTATTCCATTTGTAAATAGTGCAAAATATCTAGGTGTAATCTTCGATAAGAGAGTGACATGGAGATTACACATAGAAATGATCGAAGCCAAGGCCTTCAGAACATTCATTAGGGTATATTCCCTATTCAAAAGTGAGCGATTGAGCGCTAACATTAAACTGACCCTCCACAAAGCTCTTATTAGATCTGTAATGACTTACGCTAGTCCCGCCTGGGAGTTTGCGGCAGACACCCATCTAGTGAAATTGCAGCGCCTGCAAAACAAGGTTCTCCGCACGATTGGCAATTTTCCAAGGCGCACACCGGTCCGCGAATTGCACATGGCATTCAAAATCCCGTGCGTATATGATTACTTAACAAAAATATGCAGGAAACAAGNATTGTATATATTGTACATAGAAATAGGAATTTAAGATTAAAATTGTAAATATATGTAAATACTGACAATGGACTTACTAACACAGATTATGACTGACAAATGACAGACCCGACCTCTCGTCAGAGAGGGCGCCCCAAATGGACAGGACAGTAACTTTCACATAGGAAAAAAAAATGGTCATGATCCCCAGTCGGGGCTCGACACCAAGGCAGACAGACTGACGGACCGTCAGTCGCAATGTGACTTGAACTTGGACGAAAAGGGAAGTCTCAAATCTGAGACAGTAAAATATAGTCATGAATCCAAAGGGACTCGGACCCGAAAAAGACTGCGCTGGCAAGGGCCAACATCATATACAATATACAGAACCATCTCTCGTTAGAGAGGGCGCCCCACAAAAACAAGACTGTAACTGTCAAACAGCAATAAATATCCGATCATGAGCCCCACATGGGGCTCGACACCAAGTATTACTGACTGACCGACCGTCAGTCACAATGTGACCTTGACTTGCAGCGACATTATGGGGTAAGCGCTGGAATGTAGTCAAAAAGGGGAAAACTCAGGCGATCTACCCAGTGCCTAGGGGTATAACTGGGCCATCTTATTACTGGGGGATATACGGGGACCTGACCCTCCATGTTGGGGGAGTCTCGAATCTGAGACAGTGAAATATGGCATGAGTCCCTCAGGAATCAGACCTGATAATGGCTGCGCTGGCGAGGACCAGCAGCAATTGTAAACGACAGACCCATCCTCACGTCAGAGAGAATATGACATAAGGACTATAGCAGCAAGTGTTCAGTTGGAAAATAAAATTACTGGTCGAGTCTCCGTGGGTTTGTCGCCAAGACGAAATGATTGGCGGTATACCGCTAGTTGTAAAATAACTCTGACCCTGCCTCTGACTCGGGCGATTTATTTATCCCTGAGGACGTACTATAACTAAACGCATGGACTATCCCCTTTGTAAATAACGTAAATTATCTTAGTCTCATCTTCGATAGGGGGATGATATGAAGACTCCATATCGAAAGAACTGCAGCAGTGGGCACGTGGATAAGGACATATGCCCTTTTCAAAATTGAGCTTTTAAGCATTGATATTAAACTTGTTCTTTGTAAAGTCCTAATCAGGTTAATAATGGATCAAACCCTGTCCCACCTGGGAGTACGCGTTACCCCGTGTGGAGGCGGGGTCGAATACCTCCACCGTAGCCCTGCGAGTCATAGGAGGCGACGACACTGAGACAGTAACATATTGTCGCGAGTCCCACGGGATCCAGACCCGAGAATGACTGCGCTGGCGTGCACCAGCAACAATTGTAAACGACAGAGCCGTCCTCTCGTCAGAGAGGGCGCCCCACATTAACAAATCCTCAACTGTCTGAGAGTAATAAAAATCTGGTCTTAAGCCCCAGGCGGATGCTTTATTCCTAGACAGACTGGCCGACTGTCCGTCGGTCGTAACATGCGACCGACAGTACTCCGCGCTACTGGCATCCTTGACACGCGCACACTGGTGCGTCAATTGCATGTGGATTTCAAAATTCCTTACGTCACGGTTACATAACTAAATAATGCAGGAAACACGCAGGAGTCGTCCGAAATCATCTAAATCCGAGTGTACGTGGTATTGGACAAGAAGCCATGCACAGGAACAATTAGAGGCCTAACTTGGCTGCGGTGAAGCCTCCGACCGTCCAGGTGTCTAGCTGCCGTCTTGGAGTGCCATTGCCTGCATTGACAGACGTTATCTTGTAAAGTGGTAAAGNCGGTATTGGACAAGAAGCCATGCACAGGTACAATTAGAGGCCTAAACTTGGCTGCGGTGAAGCCTCCGACCGTCCAGGTGTGCCATTGCCTGCATTGACAGACGTTATCTTGTAAAGTGGTAAAGTGTGGCCACCGGCCGTGACATCGCACAGATGGTTAGTCGCCGGCTTCCCACCGCGGCGGCACGGGTTCGATACCAGCTCAAGTTATGTGGCATATGTGGTGGACAAAGTGGAACTGCGGCACGTCTCTTGCGAGTACTTCGGTTTCCTCTGCTAATTCTCATTCCACCAAATGCTCCATACTCATCTATCACAAGGGGGGCTGGTACAGTAGGCAGAGTAGTGGCCAACATACCAAGTAGAGCCAGTCTCACTCCACCGCATGTGGACAAAAATGAACTACCTAGACAATGCGAAAGTACGGGTATACTAGTGCAGAATTATGGCGAGAAAAATGTGGTGCCTAGTCAAAATGGACAACCCCTCCTCTCGTCGAAGAGGAGGCCCCATTTCTGGACATACAAATGGCTTTTTAATTAATAAATTTTGGTCACGGGTCCCATAGGGGCCCAAAACCAACATAAATGAGAAGCAAGAAGTTCTTGAGAAGAACTCATCACCTACTTTTCTTCCACTACAATCTGAATATTTTGTATGACAAGTAGAAAGAAACGTTAGCATCTATACATAATTAGCTCAATAAAATGATATAGTCTGAGAGGCTGCAATGTTGGTAGTACTGAAGGGGGGATTTATGAAGTATACTGTTGAGATGGCTTCAGGTGGCATGATATATGTACCATGTCTTACGAAGACTGGTAGAGACATTCAAGAAATATTAAAGTTTTGTTTCAGAAATTTGAGGCCACAATTCCGGTATTGCCGATGAGAGAGGTTTATCATGTACACCATTGAGATGGCCTCAGGTGGCATGACATACACACAGAGTTTCATGAAGATTGGTGCAGGCATTCAAGCAATACTACAGCTATTACCACAGCAATCCAAGAGGTTGTAATGTTGGTATTGCTGAGTAATGGGATTTATGAAATATGCCATTGAGATGGCTTCATGTGGCATGATATACATACAAAGTTTCATAAAGACTGGTACAGCATACAAGCAATATTAATTTTATTTGTTTCATTCTTGTCCGTTAAAAAGTTAAATAGTTCCCTTCAGTGTGACTGGTTATGATTTTATTTCAATTATTCATGCCCTTACATGTTTCGGTCTTCAGAGACCATCTTCAGTAAAAGCAACACGGTGGGCCACAAACACATACAGGATAACATTAAAGAACCCTCTTCTCGTGAAAGTGAAGATGAGGCAGGAGAAAAGTGATATGGTTGTGATACCAGGAGGGACGACTGGCATGTTACAACCACTTGACGTGTCAAAGAACAACAACTTGGCACACATTTGGCCCCCGTCAAAAGAAATAATATGAGGGATGACACGAACCAACTTGGTTTACGAATTTCAATAGAATCTTAACACACTAACTATAAATATTTTAAAGTATTTGAAGAGTCACAGTAGTTGTAAAGACTCTGGATTTTACAGCCAATTGTATATTATTTATATCGTATGTATATATTTTGACTTTTAGAACATGTTCTGTAATAGTGGTTTCTAGCTGTACTGATGTAAAAGGTGTCCCTATGAAGATGGTCTCTGAAGACCGAAACATGTAAGGGTGTGAATAATTGAAATAAGAAAATCATAACCAGTCACACTGAACGGAACTATTTAACTTTTTCAAAGCAACATCAAGGTTTTGCCTCAGAAATCTGAGAGGCTGTAATGTTCGTGTTTGAATTATGCGTTGATATGGGCTCATGTGCCATTATATACATACAAAGTTCAAAAGAAGTTGGTTTAATTACTCTTCCTATGCTTGTTTCTGTAATGCATGAAATGTAATTAAGCAAAGTATTAGCAAATGAGTCATATATTATGCTTGCTGGATTTCATCACCCTCTTAACTTTAAAAGGAATAAAATATCAGGCATAACTGCTACTACTCTGCCTCACATAGCGAACTTGAAACGCCACTTCACAGGCCTTTATTATTTGGAACTATGGGATTTTAATCAGCTGGAGGCTATAGGGTTAACAAATTCTGACAAGTTATGGTTTTGATGTTAATTCTGTTCTTGCGTTGTTACATTGTGTGGTTGCGGGTGATGTTGCCGATGTTTTGCAGGTACACGCCATCCATGAAAAGTCTGTAATACCCATCCCACAACCACATGGTGTATAAAAAAATAAGAAAAAAAATCACAATGAATCACTCTGAAAGCCTAAAATCATATAATACTTTATCATCAGGAAACGGGATTTTAAATCACCTGGTATATGCTGTAGTCAGCCATTATTTTAACTTGCAGGTCATTAGAACTAAAAAAATTCAACTGATTCTTGGGCTGTTAGATTGTGTACACATGGCATTGTAATAATGCAACACACAGAGGGTAAAGGTTTAATATTTACTCCGGTTCCTTCACAGCCTCCTGCCTCTTATAAAGTATGCTTCAGATTCATTCAAAACACAGAGAAAACAATTTACATTCAAAACTCACAACTGATTTCTAAGAACAGAGATTCTTATAGCCTCTTTTTCTTGCGCTGATCTAAAACAATGTCACAAAGATGGAGATGATAAAATGTGAAGTTTAGCCTTCAAGCTGATATCTACCATACTGAAACATTAAACAACATGCAAAATATGATACTGTCACAAAAATAAAACAGAAGATCTTTAATAGTTGCATATTAGTTGGGTCACATGTTATGTAATGTTAAAAGAACACCATTTGTAAGATTTTAACATTGTATTCATATACTTTCAATACAATCACCAAACACACATTCTCAGTCCTTTTCTGCAATAGCTGTTAGATGCTTATCAAGTTCAGCTTCACTTAGAATCCTGTAAAGACAAGAAAGAAGAAATCTCTCATTATTCAGAATAATAATTCTTCTTGATATGTCACAAACTCTTCCAAAATGCCATTCAATATTCTCTCATATTCCCTAATTTTGATGGAATTTCAGACAAATGGACTGAAACATTTCAAAGCATTATAGCATTACTATATTCCCAAAAAAAATTTTGCCCAAGCATAAGGAACACAATCCAATTTTATTTTTTCAAAGGATTCTGTGCTTCCAGAAATAGCCTCTTTTTACCTCTATGGAGTTACTATACTTGAACTGGTACATGTGCCTTTTTACTTACTAATTTTGAGAGTAAAAATTGTATTTGTTACTTGCAGCAAGCCGATTCAAACTTATCTGTAGTTACGAATTCTGGTGGATCAATGTATGTACAGGACATGCACTTCAAATCCTAAAGAACAGCCGGGAGTTTTATTCTTAACCTTATTCAAAACAGTAAAGAAGATTCAAACTGAGGCAGCTAGCAACTAGCAACAGAAACTATTACTTACTGATATACACCACTTTAAAGGGACTGACTATTTCTCGGTGACATACAAGTATGTTTGCACCCAAATGAGCACAATAACCCCCTCAGAATTACCCCAAAGCAATATGCAAGTCAAGTCATGAGTATCATACTGTCACATATATTAGTGACTGATAACGTGTGTTCTGGATTGGATGAGTGGGTTGATTTACTCCTTCTACACACCATCAGTAATTACACGTACTTACAGCTCTATCGCCATTTCTACATTTTATAATTCACTGCCACACACACACACACCAGTTGTTTCCTGGTAGAGCACTTAAAGTACAGGAATTATAAAGTTTCACTGAATTACACACTTCAAATATTACACATAAAGTCTTCTCTTCACAACCGCACTCTTGCAACTAACTCTTAATTACACTGCACTGCACTAATCTACACTAATCAACTTACCTGAACTTTGGATTCTCTTTTGTGACAATGCCTACTTCAATTTCAGTAGGTTTGAAGTCAACCGACAGAACAGTAGATAGGCACATGATGGCCAACTGGAAAAAAGTATATACAGTACACCCACAATTAGTAAAACCTGGTTAATTCATTATCAGACAGTTCAAAATTCCATATACTTCAAATCCAGTTCCAATCCAAAATAATTCAAAATATGGGCAGTTTATAATTTGAAGCAAATATTAAGTCAACAAGTACAAAAAAAAAATTGAACAAAATCACACAAACACATATGCATATGTGATTTGGACAACTACTTCTTGAAAACCTGAAGGGATGCACAAACAATGTATATAAATGTTGCATTTTGGCATCCTGTTGCGCTGTGTTCTTTCCACATACTCATGTCCATCTTCCAAGCAACTTCCAAGTTTTAAAAATCAAAATTTAATTCTTAATTTGTAAAACTCGTTTTAATTCTTTTGCTTTATTTGACCTATTTTCACAACATGTGTCAGCCTAAATGGCCAATGTTGGGTGCATTAGAACTGTTTTGGTGAAACTGCTGCACCGTGGGAACCTCCCATATTCTAACACGCAGCTTTGCCAATCTAACAGACAACATTCAACTTCTGCTCAAGCCAAGTCAAAGTCACATTGCGACCAATGGTCATATTTATACAGCATTCGCTGTCCGGCCCCCGGGAGATGAACATGGGAGCTGGCCAAACAGTGCTCGCAATCGCAGCTGCAACGCTAGCCCCTCCCAGCGGTAATGGTATAAATGCGGGGCTCAAAACTGGCTATCTTGAGTCTTCTGCAGTCCACCTATCACAACCAACATCACTACATTGACATCACAAAGCAACCATTGACATAACCCTCCGGTACCAGTACCAGCAGACAGCTGACCTTGCCAGTGAAGACAGCTGATTTTATCGGCACACGCACCACCAGCCGATTCATAATCTCTGAGCTGCCATAAAGGAGACCCGGCCTGCTACAAGGAAACCACGGTTGAACAAACGGCCCCTTTCAGGGCCAGCAAATTTTCACCGTCGCCACCAGGCCGAGCTGGTTGCTACGAAAGGAGTCGCTATCAGTACCCATCAGGCAAGCTTCCCACTCCAAGTGCAGCGAATATTTATTGCTACAGACTCAAGGGGTTGTCTGAGCAACATTAACATCCACAACACAGTCATAAGACTTTTTTCCCTAATTTTATGAACAATTCCAAATTCTGAAATATAATTTCTTTTTCATGAAACAGTGTGTGTTGGTGGCTGCTGTATCTGTAACATGTAACAGTGAGTTCTGTTAGTATTTCTGTATGGAATATGTTAGTGATGCTTTCAATCCAGCTGAATGCATATTTATTTCTTTTGGCGCTGTCAGTATTTCATTCTGTTGTGTCTTATGTAGCTATGAGCAGTCTACATGGTTGGTTCTGTTTCACATATGTGTATATAGAGTCTGAGAGCCAGTCGTGGTAGCCGAGAGGTCTAAGGCATGTGGTTGTCTTCGCTCCCTTGGAAGTTGGGATTGTGGGTTTGAATCCCACACAAGGCATGGATGTTTGGTATGTGTGTGTGTTTATTCTGTGTTTGTGTTGCCCTCTAGAGGCCTTGCGATGAGCTGATCACTTGTCCAAGGAGTCCTACCATCTGTAAAATGATCACGAAGCTGAAAATCAGAAGCCAGGGCATAAGGGGGCTGTAGAGCCAGTAAAAAAAAAAAAAGTATAAAGTCTGAAAACACATTCAGCTCTCAAAAATATACAGACTGTGACTGACTTTAAGTGAACTGACCCAAGACAAAGTAAGTAATATTTTTAAATGGTCTTGGAAGGGGCTTAGCAGACAGCTGGGAACCAATCTGTTCTGATAATGAAAGCTGTAATGTTCAGCCTGTAGCGTAAATTACATTTGAATCTAACAGTTCCCATAACATCCTTCACACAAGTACTCCTGGACATTCTGCACAGCCACTGAATAAACATTCCTCTGCAGGTGGATAACAAAGAATTACAGTAAAACCTCACCCAGATTAAGTGATAATCTGGATTAGTGAAGCATAATATAGCCCTAAAAGACAAAAAATATTCAGTCGATAAATAAATGGAAAATTTAGTTGTATAAGTAGTACTGATCAAAATAAAAAATATCACTGTAGAAAGGAAAGATATGCATCACCATGTCTTCATAACCAACCTGGACAGCTTCATCGCTAGTATAATCTTGTTTCTTCTTGAGTTTCTTCTCAAGATAGCTGTTAGCTTCCGTATGTTTCGAGCCCACACTAATGGCTCTATAACCACAAAAGTAACCTGCTGGATCTGTCTTATACATACAGGGCCCATTCTCATCATCATATGCTATTAATATCATACCTGGAGGAAATGAAAAGGGTACATTAGCATTCAAATTGCATCAATGGATCAGTGAACATAATTGTGTAACTGGATCAAAAAACTGTGAAATGTCCAGTAGTTAAATAAAGAATGCAAGGAAATTAACGCACGAGGACTATTCAGAAAATAACTTTCAGCAAACTGTTAACAAAACAAGTAACAAGGAAAAAATTATCATATACAAAAAATATGTACATTCTAAAGCTACTTCTCGACTTAGTCACCGCTGGAGCTGAGGCACACATTGTCATGTAAGAGCACTACACTGCTACTCTCACCAATGCCATGTTCTGATCTACTGATCATCTGCCGTTGCTTTCATGAATACATGCAAGATTATCAAACCACAACTAAAAATAGATCCATCTGTACTCTTTCACAAATATTCACTTATAAAATATTAAAACGTCAAATCACTTAACAAGGTCAGGATAATTACTGATTATCAAAAAACATGCATGGAGCTAGATACACAACTGCAGTAAGTTAACCATATAGTTTGTGTGTTTGGGTGGTGTATCCATAAAATGAGATATTCTACTAGTGCAGTGTATTCACTCATAGAGCTGAGCCCTTCTTGAGGAACTGCCAATTGTGCAGCTACTCAAGAACTTCTCAGCATTTTATGGAACCTGAAAGTTCATTACCGTGTTCACAAGAGCCCTTCATTGGTCCTTATCCTAAGCCAGATGAATCCAGTCCCATCCTATCTCTCTTAAGATCAATTTTAATATTGTCCACCTACCTATGTCTTGGTCTTCCTCATGGTCTCTTTCTTTCTCGCTTTCCCACAAATATCCTATATGCATTCCTTTTCTCCCCCATTTGAGCTACTTACCCTGCCCATCTCATCCTACTTCACTTGATCATCCTAATTATATTTGGAAAAGAGTACAAGTTATGAAACTCCTCATTGTGTAGTTTTCTCCAACCTCCTGTCATTTCATCTCTCTTTGGTCCAAATATTGTTCTCAGCACCCTTAGTCTATGTTCCTCCCTTAAAGTCAGAGACCAGGTTTCACACCCATACAGAAACACAGGCAAAATTATACTTTTGCATATTCTAATTTTTATGTTTCTAGACAGTAGACATGAAGGCAAAAGGTACTGCACTAAATTGTAGCACGCATTACCGTAGTTCAATCTCCTCCTGAATCAGGTTTTGATTTCTTACAGTCGTTCACTGTGCCGCATTTTCAAAACGTATGTTACCTATCTTTAAGCGGCCTCTGTAGTCTAGGGGTAACATTCCAACCTCGTGACTCAAGGTACGCGGGTTCAAACCCGGCGGAGTTCGTGGAATTTTTAAGGGCGGAAACATTCAGGGAACAAGTCCTCCGGGAGGGACTTTAAGCCGTGGATCCTGTGTCATAGCTTTACGGCATGTAAAAGAACCTCATGTCCCAAGGGGACCACTGAGCCAAATTCAGGACATTTCCCACCCAACAGTAGTCTCTAACGCCTTTGGTAGATGGGGGAAGCATTGAGATACTGCTGAGCCAGTAGAGGCCGAACTCGCTGGCTGAGTCGGGACTGATGGCACGCACCAGTACCAGTAGGGAATAGAGACTGGTAGAATATCATAGGGGGACGCACAATGGACCAACAGTTGGTCTAAGTGCATGGGGAATCCCACCCTCTCCAATACAATACAATACCTATCTTTATGTCACGATTTTGCCCTGAATTTTGGTGATGAGATAGCAACATATACTTAGTTTTCTTTCTGTATACTTCGAGACCAACCTCCTTACTAGCATCAATTAAAGTTTGTGTTTCTCTTTATGGTATCTATATCATCACATCATCAGCACAGACCAGCACTTGATATGGCCCATTTAATTTCAGCCCTTCCTGGTTTTCCTGGACCTTCCTAATGGCATATTCTAAAGCAAAGTTGAAAAGCATTCACAATAAAGTATATTCTTGTTTTAGACTATTCTGGGTAGGAAACTCATCAGAAAAATGTGTACTTATATAGATTTTACCATACGTTTCATTTAACACATTTTAATCAGCCTAACTAGTTAGATGTGTACACCAGGCTCTATCAGAATACTGTATACTACTTTCCTCCTAACTGAATCATGGGCTTTCTTGAACTCTATGAAATTATAAAAATCAATTTAGGTTTGTTTTATGAAATTATTTGCGAAGTAACTCATTTTACTCTATTGACGAATTTGTCGGGCATGCAAGGGGCTCAAATGTTTAAGAGTTAATAAATGGTCTGTGTGTGTGAATTATACATTGTTGAGACTTGCTTGTTGTAAGTGTAGTGGTATGTATGATGTCTGTGTTTGTTATGAATTTTAATATCTTATAATGAAACTGTATTGATGATACGGCTGGCCAGTGTGTGTGTGTGGAATGGCAAGGCGTGAATTTGACAGTGGTTTTTCCACAGCCTATGTGTGTGGTCTTGACAACTTGTGCTGTCTGCGTGAGGCCTGATTATATATTTTGTTGGACCAAGGATGTATGATGTGTAGTCTTCATGAATTTGTAATGAGTCCCATGTTTTATATCCAGCCCTACTGGGAGATGATTGGATCCATGAAGTGAAAATAAATGTAAATGTAAACAGCTGATGTACTGGATCATTGTACTCCCATTTTTCTCCAGTATCTGACGAATGCAAAAGATCTGATCAGTGGTTGATCTGTTACATTAAAACCCATACTGATGATCCCCAACAATTTCATCTATAAATGGACTTAACCTTGACAGAAGTATACTGGAAAAAAATTTTGTAGAAAGTTGACAGTAGTGATACCCCATGATAAATACTACAATTTTATAGCCCTTCTTGGAAAGTGGTATAATAACAGTCCTGTTCCAATGATCAGACAAATTTTTCCTTATTCCAAATATGATAAATGAAGAGTTTATGGATCACAGACCATAATGTTTCTCCTCCTGCTTGAATAAGTTCTGCCGGAATGTGATCACTACCTGGCCATTTACACCTTTGCAACTTTGCAACAGCAATTTCAACCTCAAAAGGATTAGGATCAGGTACTAACAGCTCAGCTGTATGTATTTCTATCTCCCTAACATCAGTGACCCTATGTACATTCAATAGCTGAGAGAAGTAGTTCTTCCACGTATTCAAAATGTTGTGGGAATCTGCAAGCAGATCACCATTCTCATCCTTCACTAAGTTACTGCTAGGCTGGTAACCCCTCTTAAATTCATTTATTCCTTTATACAGGTCTCTAATGTTCTTGTTCTTATTATGAGGTGGAACCTCATTCATTTTATCCTTCAGATATTCCCTATTATTATTCCTGAAATGCCTGCTGACTTCATGCTTTATGTTGTTGTAGTTATCCCTGTACCTTAGTTATACATATAAAACACAGTGGAAAAATCAAGATAAGAACGAAACGTCTCTGTTCCTAAACATCATACCATGTAGATGCATGCAACGTAGACCATGATTATCCATAACAGATGGCTACAGACTGGAAGATTCAGCATGCAAGAAACTGATAAAGGACCTCAACCAATCTGTGGTGTGTAAAATCATGCTTCTCATTAAGACAAACTTACTGCTGCAGGTCACCCAACAGCTATGACCAAATTGCCTAACAGCAACAGAGTTACAAAGGCAAAAAAAAAGGTAGAGTTATCCCTGTGCTTAACTAATTGAGCACTATGCCATAAAGGCGTATGGGGGAGTGGATGCATAGAGCCACATTTTCTTGACTTTGACACTAGTTGACAGTCAGTGGTCAGCTTCACACCCCAGCAGCTTTACCCCACGGGGGAAGAGCCCCCAGCACCCACTGGATACAAACCACAGCCAGTCTGGATGACGTGTGAAGAAGAGAAAATTCTTGACCCTATCGGGGCTCAAACTCTGACCCCTCGGTCACCCAGTCTGCAACCAGTCGCTATACCGACTAGGCTATCCTGGCTCCCGAGTTATAAAGGCTCACAAAAATACACAACTTCAGTCACAAATTCAATCAAAACAACATCACACTCTTCCATCACATCTAGTTGGCAGAATGGGGTACCAATATTGTGACATATAGACCCATTGTTAGGGAATGCATTGATAAACACATTTCCATGGAGGAAGATTCTTGGAAACCAAATCATTACTACAGCTGAAAGAGTACATTTACAATAAATGCTCAAAATGTTCTCCATGTTGATAAGGATGCAGATATCAGAATGTGCAAGTGTGGGAAGAGTTCAATGTTACGCATACGAGGGGGGACCCAAAAATAACCGGAATTTATTTTTGATATTTTTTATTTTTGCATTTTTATTGAACTGTATATTAGTACCCTTCAAAGTATTGTCCATGTGCATTAATGCACTTGTCCCAACGCTTTTGCCACTGCTCAAAACAGTGCTGGAATTCTTGAGGCAGGATACCGTTCAAAGCCTTTAGCGTGTTTTCTTTGACTTCATCCACATCACGGAATCGCTTTCCTTTCAGACTTCTCTTCATCTGTGGAAACAAAAAAAAGTCCGATGGAGCCAGGTCGGGTGAGTAAGGTGGATGAGGCACAATCACCATGTTGTTGCTTGTCAAAAACTGTCAGACCGTCAAAGCTGTGTGGGCTGGCGCATTGTCATGGTGAAGCAACCAGTTCCCATTTCTCCACATTTCGGACCATTTTCGTCGCACACTCTCTCGTAATCTTCGTAACACATCCAGGTAAAAATGTTGGTTCACTGTTTGTCCTGGCGGAACGAACTCTTTGTGGACAATGCCATTCACATCAAAAAAACAAATCAACATTGTTTTCACATTGGATCGCACTTTACGCGCTTTCTTCGGTCGTGGTGAAGTTGGAGTTTTCCACTGGCTTGATGATTGCTTTGATTCTGGATCGTACCCGTAGCACCAAGACTCATCGCCAGTCACAATTCTTTTAAGAAATTCTGGATCGTTCTGCACTTCACTCTTCAAGTCGCGGCAAACATTCACGCTGTTTTCTCTTTGGTCATCTCCGAGCAAGCGAGGAACAAATTTTGCAGACACCCGTCTCATGTGCAAACCTTCGGTTAAAATTCGCTGGACCGTGCTCCATGAGATGTTCGTTTCCTCAGAAAGTTGGTCAATGGTCTTTCGACGATCTTCATCAATTGCACGTTTGATTTTGGCAATGTTTTCGTCATTTCTTCCTGTCGAAGGACGCCCAGGGCGTGGCATGTCTTCTGTTGACATGTTGCCAGATTTGAAACGGGAAAACCACTCGTAGACCTGTGATTTCCCCAAAGCATCATCATTAAAGGCTTGCCGAAGCATCCCAACAGTCTCGGCTGCAGTTTTCCCTAACAGAAAGCAAAATTTCACGTACACTCTTTGTTCCTTCTGGTCGGCCATCTCACTAATCGCCAAAGGGTTGAAACAGGAACGCACACAACAGAGCACCACAGACAAACCACTTAACTCAGACTGATGCCAGCTCACTAACAGTCGCGGGAGACCCCCAGCTAAAACCACCTAGCAGCACAACTCGTAACTACAAAGCATGCGTGCGCAACAGGTCGGTTCCAGTTATTTTTGGGTCCCCCTTCATATAACAGCATAGAGGGTACAGCATGAACAGGTACTTTACTTTTAGCATTTACAAGTGCAAGGTCTCAAACCTCCTGACTTTCCAGTGTGACTGAACTTTTGTCGGTCTTTTGTGCAATGAAATGCTGTGCATTTCTTTGCTTCATCCGTGCTCTTAACAGATCATGCATGTTTCCGTAGAGACAGCGTCACCAATATTCACAACAAATACCAGTGGACAGAAAAGAATCCTTATGATGTAATACATTCTGGACACCAGCAGCAGTTCAGCATTAATGTGTCGGCAGGGACTGTTGGTGACTGGTATGTTCACGTGTTTTGCTACATCAGCTTACAGGCAACCACTACCAAGATGTCCTCTTGCATGATGTGCCAGAGCTACTGAAAGAAGTATCACTGGAAGTCAGAGCACAATGTGGTACATGCATGATGGTGCTTCAGCACATTTTAGCCACGACATGCAAGATGTTCTCAGTAACACCCATCATGGCCAATGGATATGATGAGGACCAAGTGCATGGCCTCCACGCTTGCCAGATTTGAATCCTCTGGATTCTTACTTGTGGGGACACCTATAAACCCTTGTGTATGCAACACCTGTTAACAACAAAGAGCCACTTCACCATTATATTGTGGATGCCTGTCAGACTATCAGCAACTACCCCGGCATCTTTGCATGGATGTGGCAGTCAATGACGAGATATGTTGAAATGTGCACTGCATCTAACATAAAACATTCTGAGCACTTAAAATGTACTCTTTCAGCTTAACACATGAATTAAATGTTTCCAGACACATGCTGATATGGACATTTTTTTGTTTTTGTATGTGGGACTCGTGTCCAAAGTTTGACCAGACCTTTCACTTACACCTTGTATAATGTACAATGACCTTTGGTTTTGAGTTGATGGAATAGGACAACGAAAGTTGAGAGAACATGACAATGCACATTCATTACTGTTAGTTTATTATACATTATGTTAATTTTCTACTAATGTTTGTGTGCTATGTTTTGTTTGAATGTGTTTATATGTGTTGTCTGTTGTAGTACCATTGCCAGCAGGTGAAAACCCATTTGCAGTTAAATAATAACAACAACAATAATAATAATAACAAAATAATAACAGTAATAATAAGGTAAATATTGTCACATAGTACATGTGACTATAGAGGGGGTTTGGACTGGTGACTCTATTTATTGACCATTTACACACACAACTCAGTTACAGCACCACTGCTAATCTCCACAACTCACAAATCACCACAGCACACGCTAAGCCTTTTCCAGCCTGCTGTGTCTTCAGCAGCCATTCCCTGGCATGAACTTCTACCAGTGGAGATTCTCCAACTTCAAGTGCTCAGGTCCCATCTGCACAGCCTCCCATACAGAACTGATTATCAGCTAAACTCCTCTGCTTATAGCATCTAGGCACAGACCACATACAAACATCCCATTTCCAACAGTCACTCTATTGTTGCATGCGTATTCATTCCCACGGGAATGTGTTTACTGAGCCGTCACCGTTTACACAGTCACCGCTTAACAATGGGTCTGTATGTCACAATATAATATATCCTCTAACTTATATTTTAAACATAACAGAATAAATTATAATAAGATCTCACAGTAATGTTTACCAAAACATGAGTACCTACATCATGGATGTTAACTTGGGTCAAGTGAATATCTTCAGTGTGAAACAAGAATCTGTCCTAACTGCTATAATTATTATAATGATAGATCTTACTGCAACCCAGCGGACGCATCTCTGCATTCTGTGTGTACACTTGTGAGATATCTGCCACCCGGCGACACAAGGTATCCACAGGAATATCATAACCGTTCTTATACTTCCAATTAGCTGCCTCATATCGAGCACGTTGCACCTGGGATTTGCTGTCCGCTGTAACATCAATTGTTAAGCTGTAAACATCATACAAATGAATCTCAAATATATGCAGAAAAAAATTATGTACGCCAATATATGCAGCCCCAGGCACCACACACACACACACACACACACTGGAGGTAGCAATCATTTTTACAGACGGTAGGACTCCTTGGATGAGTGATCAGCCAGTTGCAAGGCCACTACCTACACACAGACATATATGCCTTGAGTGGGATTCACACCCACAATCCCAGTGTTTGAGCGAACGAAGACAGTTCATGCCTTAGACTGTGCAGCCACTGTGAATGGCAACAAAGAGCATGCCTATATGTCCTATAGCATCATGGGAATACTAGTATAAGTATTGACACTGGAGACAATCTTGTACTGGCATAGCAGAGTAAACACAGCATGCAGAATGAAAAGGAAGTGTTGGATGTTGTACATGTTAATCCATAGACAAGCACTTGCTGAATCACACCTTGAGAGGGCCTTTATCAGTACAGTATACATTCAACAGAAGAACTTTGTATCCTCTTTATGTACACCCTGTACAAGGGATACAACCAACAGTAAACCATCTTTACCTCCAGTTCCATCAATGGCTTCTGTACAAACAATCAAACTTTGCAATTGTGTACCATGTATGATCAGACATGAAGTTACATCATATAACCCACAAGAGAACTGACTGCTGACACTATAATCTTGCCACGTGTTCCGGTGGGGGAGAAGCAATCGACCTTACACTTACCGATCATTCCTGTCATGACACATCCTATTTTCTCTGTCAGCTTGAAGAGGTGGGTTACAGTAGAAGGATCAAGCAACTTGTCCTGTAGAGACATAAAAAATAATGTAAGAAATAAAGGATGGAAAGCATAGCTGTTTTTTGTAGTTTATTTTCATAATCTCAGTATCTTACCGACTATAAAGGTAAAGTTGCCCCTGTGAAGCACTACACCATGAAGGCATATGGATAAGTGAATGTATAGGTCCACATTTTCTTGACCTCAGCACTAGTTGGAGGTGAGTGATCAGCTTCACACTCCAGCTGCTTTACACTGGGGAAAGAGCCCCTATTATCCACTGGATGGGAGGCTGAGTAGGCCCCAGAGCCAGTACGGACTATGTGGAGAAGGGAAAATACTTGACCCTACAGGGACTCGAACTTCAACCCCTCAGTTGCCCAGCCCATAACCAGTCCCTATACCTACTACGCTATCGCAGCTCCTATCTTACTGACTATACTGCATCAAGCGTTATGATGACTCACACAACTATGAACTGGGATTAGGTAGAAAGTGGCCAGCCTGGAAGGACTGTGGAAATCCATGAGATACCAAAGTCAGGATAGCTAGTGTCCCACACAAGATTCAATCCAAGTATCCCCTGAATACAAGTCTCGAACATGTCACAACCAGCTCAGTGACAAGTTGGTGTCACATATGAAAGCAGAAAGAAAGTAAAGTTATTCCTGTAACAGGTCACAGAGGCCCATAGGATTGTGAGATGTCAAGGCTTCCACATTTTCTAGACAATCGCCTGACAGATGACAGTGAGTTTCCCAGCCTTATGCACTGGCCACCCTTTACCCCTAGGAAGATTCCTGGTACTCATTTCTGTAGGAGGCTGAGTCGATCTCAGGGCCATGGTGCGGCTGGAAAGATTAGTCAATTGAAAAATCCAGTGACTTCATTCTGAATCAAAACAGCGACCTCCTGGCTTGTACCATAGTGCCTCAACCAACCATGCAACAGCATGAACCTGATGTCACATATATCACGATCTATACTGATAATCATGAATTCAGAAGTTTACTGTGTTGGTACTTATACAGATTCAATCAGATATAATTACAAGAACCCAAAATGATTCTTTTCTACTGCACTAAAGTGTGATATATGCTCTGTTTGAGACTCCATAAGTACCAAATTAGTAATCAAATGTTTTGCTATACTTCATAATCNTTGGCTTGTAGCATAGTGCCTCAACCAACTATGCAACAGCATGAACCTGATGTCACATATATCACAATCTATACTGATAATCATGAATTCAGAAGTTTACTGTGTTGGTACTTATACAGATTCAATGAGATATGAATTACAACAACCCAAAATGATTCTTTTCTAATGCACTAAAGTGTGATATATGCTCTGTTTGAGACTCTATAAGTACCAAATTAGTAATCAAATGTTTTGCTATACTTCATAATCTATCAGAGTGAATTCTTGCAATGAACTTCCTACCCTATATTTCAAACTTGCTGCATTTGCTGGAAAAAATAAAACTGATCTTTTATAAACCACAATGAAAAAATTAATGAAAATAAAATCAGGTGAAAATGCTGACAAGGGATGTGGCCTCCACAACTGAGTGAATGATCAGACAATTCTGAACTGAGCAATGCTGACAAGGGATGTGGCCTCCACAACTGAGTGAATGATCAGACAATTCTGAACTGAGCAATGATACCACCAGGTTGCGAAAACATGGCCACACTCTGTTTGCTGTATCACATCTGCTACGTTTTCTAACAGCTGCAGCATTAGCTACAACATTATCGTGGCCATGCATGACTGGTTCCTGTACAGTCAGAGAAGAATGGTCACTTTGCATCTCTAGTGACAGAACAAAACACAGACTTTATTGTTGTATCAACATGCTGAATGTTAAGCATGCAGACAAATGTGTCCCCCATATATGAACACCACCTCTATTAATCTTTCCAGAAATGTGACAGTTGTTCATCATTCAAACAAATTCTTGAGCAGATATGTGTCAGTCATTAGCAATGAAGTTCATTATGTGACAACAAAATTCATGTAAATGCATTTTGATAATTGTTGTGTGTTAAAAAGAGTTACAATTTGTATGGACAAAGCTTAGCTGTTTCAGCAGAGCCGCAAGGTAGAACCAAACAACAACGGAAACCCCTTTGCATACACATACATGCAAGTATTAAACTCTTTACTTATGAGAACAAAATTAGGTCAGATTGACAAAAGACAGAAAAACAGCCAAGCAACCCTTACACAATAAAGGAAATAAATCAACCCTAGAGATTCTGAGAATGACCCCACTTCATACTGCCACCTGAAACCTGAGAGTACATAGTGTGACCCTCCCAACAAGCAATATTCCCGAAAGCTTAAGAACCTCTCATGCACATAAAACTTTTCGATTTTTATACAAGATTCACTATGTTTGCTGTTTGCTTCACCCACTCTTCAGCCCTGAAAATGGAGGCAGTATATTTCTCCGAAATGTTCATATATCTGTACTAAACGACACACAGTACCATTCTAGAATACAGCATTCCATTTCAATTGCCTTTTTGAAATACACTTATGTAGTTAAATATACTAACAGGCACTTTTTTCTGAGTAGCCACTACAGCTGTATCCACTCCTTTCAAAGCAACAGACGTGAGCCCTCCCTGGTTTATCGCCTTAAATGCGTATTCTGAAAAGGATAAGAGGCACATTACTCAAATAGCTCACAATACTATGTTCCTGTACAACATGAATATAGACTGCCTAGTCATTGCGACATCAAAATCTTGAAATAAGAGTAATACAACATCCGAAACCCAAACTCAATTTAATAGAAACGGCAGAATTACAAAAAGAAAAATCACCACAAAAACTCACCCACTTGATACAGTCTACCTTCAGGAGAAAATATAGTGATATGTCTGTCAAAACCAGCACTGCTTCCTCGCGCCATGATTGTACGAGTAGACGTTTGTATTCAATTTAGCAAATCACGGATTACATACACGTATATCCTCCAGAGGGTATAAACCACAGTTTAAAATACGACTACGTACTCAAATTTATCCGTAGTCACCACCGGTCAATGCTGGGCGGTCGCAATCAGCTTCGGTAATTTACACAGTAGATAACAGGTGGCAGTACAGAAGAATAAGAGTAAGGTTGAATGTTGAATGCAGTAGATTTTTAAGTTAAATGTAGCTAAATTAATGTCCTAAACCCACTGCAAATTAGAGAAAATAAATATTAGTTGTATTAATTGTATGTAAACTAAAGCAGCGGTAACGTAAGATCGTAAAGTAAATTTATATCAAGTTACGAACGTAAGGGGCTGATTTTGTGATACCAGTATTTGAGGTTACGTACTAACAAACTGATAAGAAACAGAAGTCAGGACTGGAAATACAAATTGAGGTGCTGAAAATAATTATGGAATTTAATAGAGCCGGTGAGACATGTTTAGCATTTGTAGCTTAATTCCATGCATTTAATTTTATATTCGTCGGTTCATGGGCATATTTGAGGGTCATGTACTCGCAATATTCAATACATGTAGTTTCCACCACACACAGCCTTGTGTATAATTATTATATATTACACGCAGTAGTGTAGCCAAATATGTGTACACTAGGCATTGGTTCCGGCAAGGGGTGGAGGGCATCTGCTGCCAACACCTTCAATTCAAAGATTAAACAATTTAAGAAATGAAACTTCCAGTTGTTCATACTAAGTTTTAATTTGTTTTAATTATTCTTTGCTGAATACTCAAGGATATTCAGTAAAAACAGTCATAAATAGATTAAACATAAATTTGTAAGCACATTTTCTGGCTCCTCACCCCATCCCAGAAAAAAGGCTACCTCATCCTTGGATAATATCCTAATGGCACGTGTGTTTAAATATCATCTTCAGGATATATTGTATTTTAATAGAACTACTGTTAAGTTGGGGCACCATGCTACAAGCCAGAAGGTTGTGGGTTCAAGTCTTCATGGGGTCATTGGATTTTTTCAATTGACTGAATCCTTCCAGCTGCACTATGGCCTTGGGGTTGACTCAGCCTCTACCAGGAATATACTTGTGGGTAAAGGGCAGCCAGCACATAGGGCTGACAACTTTGCTGCCATCTATGAGCCGATGGTATAGAAAATGTGGGAACCTCAACAAACCACAACCCTATGGGCCTCCACCTCCTGTTACAGGGATACCTTTACTTTACTACTGTTAAGTTGGCCAACGTTCTGGTCCATTGTTAACTTGGATTTGAAATTAAAAATTTGTGTAAAATTACAGCACTATGAAATATGTTAATTCGCACACATCATTAAACCTCACACTGTATGGGAAAGCAAATGTGTGATGTAGAATGTTATGTCATTAGAAATTTACTATATTATCGTATATTGTTGACATACTTCCAGTATTCACATGCTAGTGAGAAATTCAGATAGCTTACACAGGACTTTTCTTCCATAATGTTGCCTACACAAGGTGTGTGGTATTTTGGACTATAAATATATAAGGGGTGGGCCTTCTTGGCCCTTGCACTGTGACCACAGTGATCTATTGTGCCTTATTTTGGACTATGGCGAAGATGAACTTCATTATAGAATCTATTTCATATGTTAAGTTGATAATTTTGGGGCTTGTTCACCTGTTTCATATTTCATTCAGTCTCACATCATAGGCTGTTGCAAACTTCTGGTTGGAAGTTGTAATAATATACAGGTGAAATTCTTTTGTGTCCACTTATGTTTCACATCTTACTACTCTACTTAAGATTGTGTTGTAAATTTCCCTTATTTATTGCTAATTTAGGAACTGAAACATAATAATTACAATTTTCCATGTCAGAGTGAGAGTTATTTTATGACTGGTGGTTTACCACTAATCAGTTCATCTTGGCACTAAGCCCCTTCAGACCCACGACCAGTATTTTTTTTTCAGCTGACAGGCATGGTTATAGTCCTTATGTAACATCCTCTCTGACAAGAGGATGGGTCTGTCATTCACAATTGCTGCTGGCCCTCACCAGCACAGTCATTCTCGGGTGTGACTGTCCTAGACTTCCGCAACCTGGATGGCCAGGTACCCGTATTTATATCCCCCAGTAACAGGATGGCCCAGTTATACCCCCAGGCACTGGGCTCCCTTTTCATCACCTCCTATGACATGCAAGGCTGCAGTGGAGGTATTCGACCCTGCCTCCACATGGACTATAATTTCCTTGTTATATATTAAATGTCTCGGAGTTTCTTACTCTGTTACAATTATGGACAAATTTGAATATTTATCAATAACTTATGAACTTATCAGCAGTTTCACTGCAACCCATATATAGCCCATGATGACCTTTAAGGTTGAAACATGTAGCTACAAGCATCCAGATATTGCATGCAATTAATAATAACTATATTCAAGGTTTTATGTGAAGTAAAAAAAAAATATATATATATATTAGTTATGTCTGCCCATCTAATTCTGACATTAATTTGTAAAGTTTCTTTTGTTTAGATCATCCTCATACCAGATACAATCCCTTGAAAGGTGAATGGGTTCTCGTATCACCACACAGGTCAAAGCGACCTTGGTATGGTCAGGTGGAAGATGCCCCCGAAGAAAATAGCATAGAATATGAACCTAAAAATCCTCTGTGTCCAGGATCCACAAGACCTAATGGACAGGTAAAATCACAAATGCAATTTTTTCATATTTTTAACTCATACAGCATGTGTGGTATGTAGCCTAATGACTCATAATACACTGACTCAGACCTTTGATTTGGAGGAAATATGTGGGTCCTCTTAATCCTGAATTACACAGGCACATAACAAATGTTTGTCCATTGTTCATGTGTGATTATGATAATCTTATGACATCTCTTCTCTACAACACATTTCTAATGTTTTGCCATTTTATTCTACACCTACTGCCATTTTACCTTTAGAAATCTATTTTGTCACAATAGTGTTGATCTCTGGTACTGCCTGGTAGTATGGATGTACAAATGGCCAAACAGAGGATCTTCTTGGTCCACCACCTAATGATTCAGTTCTTGAATGACTATCAAAGAAATATCCAGATTGAAACCAGTAATGACCCTGAAGAAGAAGAAGAAGAAGGATAATAATAATCTCATTAGTGATACTTTGGATTATTTAGAGAAGCTGTTGACTGTCACTTGTCAACCTGTTACGGGGAGATTACTGGTTACTTCATTTAACCCACTGACTCTGAGTGACATACTTCTTGGTTCTGGGATCTCCTTGAAATGCCCAAAGTGTTGAAAGCACATTAGAAGATTAAAACAGTTGCAAGGTACCTCTCTGGGCTTTCACTGTGACCATGTGTCAGGTTTGTCATTAGTACACAGTGAGTTAAAGTAATATACATTACGAGTCCTATAGAATGTAGTATATTGGTCTGATTAAACTGATTGAATTAAAGTGTGCCTCATCTCAAGGCGACTGTTTGTACTCCAAGAGAGGAAGATTATTGTAGAATGCAGAAAGACAAGCAGAGATTAACTATTTTGTGCTGTCAGTGAGCCACAGTTATAGAATCTGTTGTGGTTCTTGCATACATATGAGTTTGCTCTTAAGGGAATATAATTAGGAAAGCATCCTGTATGTTAGTCTTGTGAAAAAAAAAATTGTCATTTTGTACAGGGATCTAATCCGTTCCATCAACATTCTTGTGAGGGTCTTAACATTAGATCACCCACAATATCCTCTTGTGAACAGCTGCTTGGTGTAGTGGTAATGCCAGACTTGTATTTTGGGAGATACTCAGTTCAGATCTCAGCCATGACACCAGCTATTGTAACTGAGATTTTCAACATCAACCCCCCCCCCAGACAAACCACAATTTGGACCATTCATACTTCCTTCAAAATCCTTTCCAAGTCATTAATCATCCTGGCTCTATATAGTCTAAATGCTGAGATACTGACAGTGTTGTAAAGTAAGTCATAAGAAACATTGTGAATTTGATCCCAAATCAATTCCAGGTCATGCCACCGGTATAGCTAGAGGTGGCAGGAATAATAGTACTAGTGGTAGTCTGCAAAAAATCTGAATAAACCGACAATACAGCAGACCCATTGCTAGGGAATGCCTCAGTAAACAAGCCCACAATAAATACAACCAACAATACAGCAGACCCATTGCTAGGGAATGTCTCAGTAAACAAGCCCGCAATAAATACTCAACCAACAATGCAGCAGACCCATTGCTAGGGAACACCTCAGTAAACAAGCCCACAATAAATACTCAACCAACAAGACAGCAGACCCATTGCTAGGGAATGTCTCAGTAAACAAGCCAACAATAAATAAATACTCAGCCAACAATACAGCAGACCCATTTCTAGAGAATGTCTCAGTAAACAAGCCCAGAATAAATACTCAACCAACAATACAGCAGACCCATTTCTAGAGAATGTCTCAGTAAACAAGCCCAGAATAAATACTCAACCAACAATACAGCAGACCCATTTCTAGAGAATGTCTCAGTAAACAAGCCCACAATAAATACTCAACCAACAATACAGCAGACCCACTGCTAGGGAACACCTCAGTAAACAAGCCCATAATAAATACTCAGCCAACAGTACAGCAGACCCATTGCTAGGCAACACCTACAATAGATGCACACAACAATAGAACCAGTGTCGCAAGAGGTGTTTTCTCTGTGGTTTGCAAATATCCATTGCTGGGGAACAGATGTGTCTTCTGTGCTGTGGCTCAGCCTGATGCTATATAAGAAGATAACAATAATTCACAGTTCAGTCATAAATCAGAGTTCAATTATAAACCAGAATGGAGCCAGTTGTAGTTCAGATCAGAATTGAGCTGAAGATTTATTTTAAGTCATTGTACTTGAGTGTGATTATGAGTGGTTGTAAAAGAAGATGTTAATAAATCCAATCATCCAATCCAAAACCCATTATCATTAGTATTAGAACCATAAACACATGACAGTATGTTCGAATGGTGTGGCTTGCACTCCTGCTTTCCTAGCTTTGTTTTAGTTATTACATTCTTCTTTTTTCCTTGTTCTCCAATTTGTTTTTATGGATTATGATATGTGATACCAAAACCTCGGTATCTTTAGAGGTACACAGCAGCACATGTAACTTTTTATATTCTTTCAGAGACACTTGTTTGTATGAAAGGGAAATTTCACAGTGTTTGCATTTTACTCAAATGGAAAATATATTAGCAATGCAAAATGGTATATCTGTATAAATAATTCCAGTATTTATCATAATTCAGATGAAAACTGAACATGATGTTCATCGCTTTTTCTTTTCAGGTAAATCCCAACTACCAGTCTACATTTACATTCATCAATGATTTTCCAGCACTTCTTGAAGATGTTCCTAGCACACCACCAAGCAACGATCTGTTATTTCAGACGGAGAGTGCTCGAGGAACGTGCAAAGTCATGTGTTTCCATCCAAAGTCAGATGCGACTCTTCCCCTTATGACAGTAACAGAGATTCGAGAAGTGATTGACAGGTTAGTTTTATTTCAGTAGTACCTCTTCATTAATATTTTACTGCTGTATTATAAAAGTGAATGTTAATTATGTTTATATCAGTTAAGTTGATTGTCAAATATTCAGGTTCACAATTTGGATTAAATTCTAGTTAATGGAGGCACCATATGGCATCCCAGCTCCTTGTGCTACCCATACATAGAATTTCAGTGTTCACAACTTACTTCAGTATCTTTCCTCTGCCTGTACCCTCTAAAACAGGGGTCTCCAAACTTTTCGAACTGCAGGCCACATTAGGTAATTCAGCACTTTCAACAGACTGGATAAAATGATAAATTAATAACTCTAGGTATATGAGTTTTATTGAAAGCACAGAATTTCATAAACTAAATACAAAGTACGTGAGAATAAATTATCGTATATTAACACATTCAGGACCGGAGGGGCCAATTGGCCCTCTATGTTTCTGTAGTGTTGCGGACCGGGTGGGCCAATTGGCCCTTTTCTGATGCATTATGCTGCAACCGACTATATCTCGCTGTGTGGCCACGTTGCATCATAACTACTGTGTAGTTGACCTCAGGAATGTTTGCTAGCTTAGCCAGTAACATGATCATGCTCATTTACTGTCACACCCTAAAGAGAAAAGCCTTTGTTTAAG